ACGCAAAAACAGATTTTAAACAGATTTTTTTTAAACTCATTTTTTTAGTTCGGAATATACTGTTAGTTTTTGTATTGAAATATTCATAATTACTGATTAAAAATAAGTGATTTTCGTATATTTCAATGTTCATATTAAAGTAGTTGTTTCGAAAGTATTTTTTCTTTCGTATAACTTAATGTTCAAGTGGAAGTAGTTGTTTCAAGAGAACTGCTCCTGTTTATTTCGAGTTTATTTTGAACTTATAGCTTTTTCTTCCTCTGGAAGTTTCCTACAATTCCCATAGTTGAAAATATACGTCTCTCAATTTAAAATGATGTTATTGTAGATTTTTCCAAACTTTTATTCTGATTTGTCCGAGTTTCTTCATGCTTAAAATAAACTGAGTTCCTCAAAGTACATATCTATGGGTGTAGTACGTCCAGAAATAACTCGAGTCTATGTAGTAGAGTACTGTTCATGAAAATAATAAGTTGTTTCTCTAATTTTTTCCCAACACTCTCTGAATAAGTTCATTTCTGCCTGCTGTAACAAATAATCGCCTTGAGTAACCCTATTAACTTCTTAAACGCCATACGGATGACACATATCCCGAACCCAAAGATGAACCTTCTATTCCCGGATAACCACAGGCCAATCAGCTTATTAACCCCTTCCTTAAGCAAAGTGGCAGAACGTGTCATCCTGAAAAGATAAGAGGATCAAACCAACGAACCAGGAATCCTACCACACGAACAGTTCGGTTTCAGATCAGAACACTTGACAGAGTTGCAAGACCTGAGGGTAGTAGACTTTGCCATGAAAGACTTCAACCTCGGCAAAGGATACAACACCAGAGTGATTTTCTTAGACGGTCCCAAGGCGTTTGACAGATTCTGGCATGATGGACTTCTGGCCAAAATGATTAACTTTGGCTACACGAAACCAATAGTAACATTAATCGAGTCTTTTCTAGCTGACAGGCGATGCCGCTGCAGAGTAGGACAAGAACTATCAACGATGCGATTAATGGAAGCATGGGTCCCACAAGGTGCAGTCCTTTCGCCACATCTCTTCTCGGTATACATAGCAGACGTGCCCAAGCCGGATAACAACTTTAACAAGTTGGCGCTCTCGCGGACGACACAACTCTGCTGGAGAGATCAACAAGCCAAGCGCACGTCACCAGATTCTTGCAGCAACAGGTAGGTAGACTGAAGGAATGGGCCAACCTGTGGAAGATCAGTATAAACTCTGACAAGAATCAGGCACCCGAAGGATGATACACATGAAAAGAAACGTCATCTTCAACGGACAAGAGATTCCGTGGACCAATGAAGCTAGATACTTGGGAGTCAACCTAGACAAAAGATTAACGTTCAGGTATCACGTACGGCAGAGAATTGGAATGGTGAGATCTGCCCGACAAAACCTATCACCCATAATTAATAGGTCGAAGATGGGGCTGAAAGTGAAGCTGCTGATGATAAAGACCGTAATACTACCGATAATCCTGTATGCCTGCACTGCCAGGAGCCAGTGCGCAGCGACATACAGAAGACAGATCTAGTCGTTTATGAACGCGTGCGTAAGAGCCGCAGTAAACGCTCCAAAATATGTACCGAATAGGTACATATTCTGGGATCTAGACCTGAACGTAGACGCATACATGAGGAAACACACAGAGAACACGTTTGACAGAATCCGAGTGCATGATAATCCAGCGCTTGGCGACCTACATAACGCACTGAATAGGGATGACCCCAGATTCCTAGAGAGGGACAAACACAGCAGAACCAAACGAAGCAGAACCAAAGACCACTCTCGAGAGTCGCTGTCAGGCGGCTCCGGCAAGTATAAAAATTTCGTAACCAGACGTCAAATTGATCTCATTTCCAGATTCACTGAGAACCAACACACTCGCTCGCGACTAAAGACACCCACTTCCGGTTAGTTTTTGGGGACCCCATGCAATAATTCAGTTAGGAAAGTCTTGATAAAACAATTCAACAGATCAGAAAGTAAAAGCACCTAGAGGCTGACTTTGGACCAAAGAAGGTCAGATGTCAATCTTGCTGAAGTGCCCATCAGTAAGTTAAGGACCGCTCCGAAGGAGCGGGGGTGGATGGACGATATGGGATGTTCTGCACACATTAACCGTGTAGAGAAGATTTCAATTCAGGACACCCAACCCGGGAGCTCGCCAACCTTCGAGATATGACTTTCGTACTCGCAATCAACGCATATATAACTGATAATGTCGGCCGTAGAAGCAGACGAAACGCTTGGTACTACAGTCTACCAGCTCTGATTTTGTTCCCTCATGACTTCGATCGTGACGTTCCATTTCTCTCAGTCCCATAATTCTCATTTACAAAAATATTATATGAGTTCTTCAATTGTACGTGCAAAGAAAACGTAGCACATAAATAATTTTTTGCACAGTTGGAAAATTCCGCAGTTGCTGAACACGCATTACAAGAAAACCATGAGATACTATTCGAAAAAAACAGACTTTTTTCACACCACTCGCCACTATTAGATGTGTCCAAACGAAGAAGCCATTGGAATAACTTATTCTGTATGGTATCTAACTCTCCGCCGATGCCCGATCAACTCCGAGACCGCTCGAGCCAATCAGAGAATTCTCTCCACGACTTTTTCTTCATAAATATCAATGACACACTTCAACAAAGGGTTTCATCAATGAGTCTACCAATGAGGAGGTCGCAACGCATTACTGCCAACCAGCGCTGAAGAAGCCCATCGTAGATATGAAAGAAACGTTCGAAGATAACCACGGAACTCAACCCGGATAACCAAAGTTAGAATTTCACTCCAGGCTATGAAAGCTTAAAACTTCAGTATGGTGGTTATGAAAAATCTATTTTTATTCATTATTATGTTTGTATAGAAACATATTTACCCTTTTTTATGGCAAATCTTAAGATATTTTACGTATAACTATATAAATTCCTCACTTTGGACTTACCTGGTATCCATTTATGAGAATGAGTTATTCTGGAAGTGACTGGCAGAGAAAGGTCAAGTCTGTTCTCCACGGAGTTCATCTCCGGTTTTGTCTTATTGAATAAACTGGCTCTTCTGGGTTTTTCTATTTCAGGAAATGTCACGAAGCCAAGTTCAAGTGGAGATCTCTTTATCAAACCGCTCTCAACCGTTGGGAACATCTTGCAAAACATAATGTAAACTAGAATTTTCTGGAAATGAATATCTTGCATTATTACAAGGGACAATTTACGTTTGAAAAAGTCTAGAGAGACTTCATTGAATTTATTTTTACTTATGGGTTTCAATCTATTCAGTTTATGTTTTGGATTCTGATTTCAAATTTATATACGATATTAATCAAATTTACGTGTTTTATAAATCTAATGTGGGGTTCTTATACTTATATTGAACTCTGGGCGCTTTTCCAATATATAACATCGATCAGATTGTATCAGTTTGAGTGATAGCCTATTTTTTACCGATTACTATAGATGTGTGACCCAACATCCTACTGGATTGTTGAGTCACACATCTAGATGGGCATGCATACCTATTATTCTCTACTCATTAGCAACATATTTTTTCCATGAGTAATCATGGAAATATACGTCCTCTATAGGTTTAATAGAAAACTCAAACTCTATTCAAGTAAGACTTCATTGTGAGATTTTTAATAAACAGTTTACAAAATTTCAACACGTGTTTCGGTATCCAATTGCTATATTGATTCAATAACAATTTGCATTATATTTACATTCTACCTACCAATAATCTCACCAGAATTCAGAAACAAACTAATTGAAAATTCAAGCATTATATCAGTCTAGATATACTGATTATAATAGAACTGTAGCCCATTCATTAAATAGGCATGTAATGAACTAATTATCAACTTCCACACGAGAAAACACATTCAACGAAAGGAAAAAATTCAATTCTATTCGGTATTGAATTATCAAAAAAAAAAACTAGTTAGTGACGCCCTGCAAACAACAAGTGATGCAACATTTTCTCATCACGCAAATTTTATCATACCTAAATGATATCTTGTCTCGTTCGAAAGTTAAGATTTATTTCATTCCGACAGCTATTATTCTCAAAAAACTGAAATAACGTTACCCATTTTCCTTTCTTAAGCTACGCTTGTTGATATATGCAACGCCACTGTGGATGTATCAGTTTCAGCGAATACACGATTTGTCAATCCGCCATTTATGAAACGCATTCTAGATATCATAATTCATATGATTATGAGTTCTGTGAGATTGATCTATGCTCGATCGGTCTATGATGTTTGACAGAAAAGCGACAATGACACTTGACAAATGAGATGAACAGAAAATTAAACACCAGTGATGCCAGCAATGAGGGCCCGCATACCAAGTTATTATTCGAGTTTGCACACATTTTTCTATGAATTTGAATTTTGTTATTTTCATCAACGTGCAAATCAGTTTTATTGGTTTGGAAACACTGAACATGCTTGTAAGAGCAGCAGGCAGTGTTATTATTTGGTTTAGATAATAATTGTGCTATAATGGCCATAATTTGAAAATGTGAGCGACAGAGCATGTACTTTTGAAAAATATGCAAGTATTTCAAAATGCCGATATTGTCATATCACATGTGTTGTATTTGTAACTGACGTTACTGCAGTTTTGTCCTACAAGGACATTTTCAAACAAATACAATGAACTAATTATAATAGAAATTTTACCCACTCATTAAATGAGCATGTAATAAACTAATTATCAATTTTCACATGAGAAAACACAGCCAAGAGAAGGAAACAATTCAATTTTACTTGGTATTGAATTCTCTGCAGTAACGTTATTTACAAATACGAGTCGTATAAAAACAGGAAATTTCAATTCTCATTTTTCATGATGATCTTTTGCCTCATAATAACGGTTACATCCATGAATTTATCACATGTGTTTTTTGTGTACCTCTTCAAAGTTTCCAAATCAGAAAATTTATAATATCCGTTGGATGAATAATATTCATTCACTTACATGTTTTATGCTTTACGTTATTATTTAGAAAAATCCACTTTGGATTTATTGAATGATATTGATCAATGGTATTCATATTCAATCTTTTTCATAGATTACTTATGGGGCCAATAATATTTCGCATACATCGATATTATAATCAACGCAACGGCTGAAACCTCTTCTCCAGCAAGTTGGTATATCTCAAGTTGTGTTTGTTCAGAGTCCAAATGTTTCAATTTTTGACACTGCCAACGGGTAAACACTGGCAAAATAATCAGAATGATGGAATTATAAAAATGTAATAGCTCCCTAGTGATTCGGCGATACAACAAAATAAAAGTATTTAATAGTATTCAATAGTAAGTAGTAGGTACATAATAATTGAAAGGGGCAACCCCATCTATGGATAGTATAAATGAAGAACTGTGCATGCACAATGAGGTTCTATCACGAATAAGAAGAAAAAAATGACAAGTGGGGAGTTTCGATCCTTCTGTGTCCTATTGTCTTTTAGTTTGGGCACAATTGAACATTTCTACATAATAACACTGTCAGCAAGTGAGTTTTGTTTTGAGAAGGTTCACTTTCTTTACTTCATTTTGGTGATTTTTAAAACAACATTTGATGTTTGAACAAAAATAAAAGCGATTTTTTTTCACCATCCACGAAATGAAAATCCAAAACTGTGGGTGAACTTGCAAAAATTTTATACTCGTCATTATTTTTTCACCAAATAATTGGGTTTCTCGAGTGAAACTGTGAAAGTAAACTGCGGTATACCAATCGACTTTTACCTATGCATTGCTATCTACTTGATTTATCTCCATTATAATGATGAAACACTGCTTAAATAATATTTTCCTTCAATTTTCACATAAATGAATAATAAAATTGAATGTTTGGTATACGAATTGAGGAAGAGAAAGTGATTTCTGTGAAATTTGTAAACTTTTAAAAATCTTATACTTATCATCATTTTTCCACCAAATAATTGTGTTTGTGTTCAAGTAAAAGTGTGAAAGTGAGACTACTACATATATAAATCATTTGAAGTTGAAACTTTTGAATATATTACAAAACTGTGGTATACCAATCGACTATCTATTTGATATATTCCCATTATAACAATGAAACACTACAGAAATAATGTTTTTCTTCAATTTGTGTACAAATAATTGAAAACCGAATGGTATATGGTGTACGAACTGGGAAAATAAAGTGGTTTCTGTGAAATTTAATGTTCAATTCATTGAAATCAATCAGTTCAGATGTATGTATTGAACTAAAAATGAAAGCAATGTTTTGTGTGATTCATATTCAATATACTAATTCATCTCTTGAATAGTAGTTAGGTTAGGTTAGAAGTGAGTAGGTCTATTCGACCCTCCATCGCAACCCCCAAAGGTTTATTGTGGCTCTCACCTATTCAAACTCGTCCAAATGAACCCAGCTTCTTAACGAAACCGATTAGTTTTTATGGTCAGTGGTCATTCAGGTCAGATGGTAAGAGTGCGACTCTGCCAAACCTTGAAAACCTGATTCGGTCCCCTGCGGGACAAGCACAAAGTATATGCACTGCTGCTTCATCATTTTCCAAACAGAGGCGATACACACTGTCTTCCGACAGTTCGAGTCTCTGCATATGATGATTGGAATGACAGTGACCTGTGAGAAGGGCTGTAAGACATCGTAGTTATCCCTTTTGCAGTCCAGAAACTGTTTGGTATCAAGTTTCGAAGAATGAATGAACGTCTAGGATTGAGCCAATCCTGGAAGACTCTGCCAGAAGGCCATAAATCTTCTTGCCTTCCAGGTGTTCAATATTTATTAGGCAAATCCTAAAGCGATGTCAATGACAGGTTCTGGTCCGATGAAGCTGCTTGCAGCACCCTCCATTGCAAGGAAGTCAGCAGCTGCATTGCCTTCCAGGCCAGTATGGCCAGAAATCCAGACCAGAAACAATCTATTAAGTTTTGCTATCAAAGATAGTGATTTTTGGTAATTTACTACCAATTTAAACGTTGCTTGGTAGGAGCCAAGAGCTTCCAACGCTGCTTGACTGTTCGAGAATATTTTTATTGACTTGTTTATAAGGTTGGATTTTTCCAATCTCTCCGTACACAATTCGATAGCGTAAATTTCCGCTTGAAATACAGTCACATAGGTTCCTAGGCAGGTTGATATCTCTGTCCTGGGTGTGCGACTGAAAACACCTGTACCAGAACCTGAAGGTGTTTCTGATCCATCTGTGAACCAATAACTATCTGCTCTTAATGGTTCCTTCTTCAGAAGGTTCCAATCCTCTCTACTTGAGAGCAGTACTTTATAAGGGAGTTGGTAGTTGACAATTGGAGGCATAATGTCAGAGGTTAGAATAGTAGTACGCAATATGTAAAGCTGTGAATATATTTTTGTTTCGATAGCATATGTATCTGATTTGAAAAAAAAACAATAAAAATACAATTTGTAAATACAAGTTACGGGTAATTAGACTTATTTTCAGAACTATATATTTTGCAACAACTTTTCGGGCTGAACTTTTCAATTTGCCAACCGAAAAAGGTTGAGAAATATTGACTCTTCCACGAACAATGTTTTCCTCAGCATGTATTTTAATAAGAGCAGATTCTATCGTTATTTTTTACGATGATAATTTCTATGGGGATTGAAAATTATTGAAATCCCAATTAGTACTGTAGCGACCGTACGTTTACCAGTATTATGACATTTTTTGATACAAATTCGGAGCTTAAGATATAATCCAGTTTTATTTTAAGAGAATATGCAGTAACATAAGCAATGATCTGTTTACATATCAACACAGCGATTACATGTTTACCTTTACGTTGATGAACTTAATTACAATCCGCGTCAGTTGCCTTCAAACGATTTAAAAAAATATACCTATATAATTTGCTTTAATTAGTTCATTAATAATGATAAATATCAGACCGTGACCCTACTCAAGAAAGCGACCACCATTCCAAGTAAGTGTCGTTAGATATTCAATTGAAGTACGCTACGGAATTATAAATTCCTACCTGTCTAACTGGGATGAACATACTGTAAACTTGTTCTAAATATATTTTTCACTACGATCCCGCATAACACACTATTGACACTGTGGTTCGATAAATATTCGTTCAATCCTATACATGGTTTATTAACCTGGATACGTAGATATTGCATAATATCAACATTCAAATGTATAAAGAAGTCTACCTTCCACTTTGGCTCTCATGACATTGAAGTATATCAGGCTACTTAAGTGAGACTTGAACAACTCTCACTGAACGGTAACGCAAAAAAAGGTTATATGTAGTTAGTTTGAAGGTTTCTTGAAGAAATCAAACGTACGTTTGCCAAATATATTTTATTATAAATCGTGCGATTATTTTAGCTATCAAATTGTATTAGAGACACAGGATCTGAAAATAGAGATGCAGACTGTATTCAGTTCAATTTGAAATATAGTTGTAAAGTTTGTTTGAACGTGGTTGACAATGTTTCGTGGTGCATTTCATTAGTTCGGACTTCCATTCCAATTCAATTGATTTGAAATCCCTGAAAGAATCTACAAAAAATTAAAAATATTAGCTAGGAAAATAGCAAGTATAACATTAGAACCTGCTTCAGATCTGGGAACACTATCCGTAGCAAAAACCAGGTCACCAAACGCAGACTGCGATTCCAATAATTGCATTTACCGGATACCCTGCGAGTGCGGAGAGTCCTACATCGGTGAAACTAAGAGGCCATTGAAAGTTCGCATTTCCGAGCACAAAAATAACACACAGGAAGAAGAAACCAGCAGATAGGAATAGCGGAGCATGTTTGGACTCATAAACATAACAGCAAGTGGTCTCAAAATCATCCTCAAGGAGGAGCACTTGTTTAGAAGAAAATTCAAAGAAGCCACATATATGTTGTCCACCAACGCATTTAGCCAAGCTAGCGTAGGGATACGCAACATAGGGAAACCTATAATCAAACTAAACACGGTCAACTCCCGTCAAACGGTCAGTTCCCGCTAAAACCCATTTAGCGGCGAGAGGGAAGAGGGGATAAGTGAAAGCACTCGAATGACCTATAAATAGTCAGATCTCGGAGTTGTCCTTCTGACAAACGTCAGTCGAAAGGGTAAGAATAGAATATAGCTGAATTTAGATAATTATATTATCAAAATGTCTGATATCAGCGATATAGAAAAATTACCATCGACTCTTCCACACGTATCTGAGGAAGCAAAAAAGGCAGTAAATACAAAATACTTTACCCCAACAATCTGAAAAGTGTACGAAAAACTATATCAACGGTTTATGGACTGGAGCAATACAATTAATATTAGTACATAGACACATTATTCAATAATAAAATCGTTGGAACGTAGCAACCATATTATAGATATCCCTATATATAAGAATCTACAGGTTTCATTAAATCAAAAATATTCCCACCTGAAAAAATAAAAACGTTTATCAACGAAGCACTTGATGAAAAGTTTTAATTTACAAAAGTAAGTATCTACCCAACATTGCATTTTTGAAAATTTTCCATTCGACTCAGGCATGATATATTTCATCAATTTCGAGAAATAGTAGAAGGCGTTTTCTGGCGCTCATGTATTCAAAATATATTCGTCTGTGATTCAAATAGGTAGAATCGTTCTGGCGTTGAAACGCCAACTATGACTTGAAACATATTCATCATGATTCAAAACCAGCGTGAGGTTTGTTTTGAAACAAAATTTGACATTACATTACATTTTCTGCTTTATTTTGAATGTTATAGTTTATAAATTGCTGAAAACTTTTCATCAAATACCTTATAAGGATGTACAAAATAAAGCTGACAACACAAATCCGATTATAATTGAGTTAGAGAAAATTAAAAAGTTTGTTTTTATTATTGAATGTGTGACCAAGGTCATAGATGACCAAACTTTATAGTTGTGTTCGAATTATTTTCTATACATTTCAATTTCAAACTTAACACTCAAAATGTACGTTTCGTTTTCAAATATATATCAATACGTAAAACGGGAATGAGAACTTGACTTAGGTATATGTTTTCATACATTTTTTAGTATCAGTTGTATGATATTTTCGTTTTGTTCAATGAAATTCATGTACCTATTAACTTAGATTTTTCTGTACCAATTCTATTACTTTTCATTTATTTCATTCTGGAAAATGTTCACTACAGTTTCAAGTATGCCTCAAGGTATTACCATAGGACTACTTTTTTTCTTATCAACCTGGAAAGGTACATAGAAGGATGTAATTTGTTGAGAAGTATAAAAGTGTTGTCTAATCGTCATCAATTTGTGAAGAGCTCATAATATTATAAACAATAATGCATAGGGTTTCAATCTCTCACAGATGTGAAAATAACTCGGAAAAAATTACTTTGACCATCTTTTATAACACCTAACTGATTTTTCGAATCTGTGAAACTCTGTAAGCCAGAAAACAATTATTTTCGAGAATAAAGAGTTGGGGACACATTGTTCAATATTTTTCACGGTTGGTAGAACTAATAATATACTATCTCATTATGTTTGTCGGTCAGTACCATCATCGGCCGTTGAATGGGTCAGTTGACGGCAGTATTGCCATACTAACAGAATATTGCCGGCATTAGCTCGAAAAAAAAACTTAAAAATTGTATCGTTATTTCAAGAGTATTCAGATCTGTGATTTTATGGATAATATTCCGATCACAGATTTGCTCATATTTATAATGATTTTTCAGTGTTCCATGGTGATTCCCTCATGTCTTTTGAGATCACTAGGACTGACTCATTGTATTCATTCCCAAATGTACTTTCTGATTCAGGACAGAAAATTCGTAAATTCGTACTGTTTTGAATGTGTTGTTATATAATATTATTTTTCTCACAGCCATCCTCAGAGAAAACTAAGCTTTGAAGTACTCACTGCAAATCTACTATCACCGTTCTGAGAAGTCAACAAATTAACAATAAAATACAATAAATAGTAAATCATTAATAGACTTGATGAATTCCAATATGTAGCGACATCTCGTAAAGAGTAGACGAACTGAAACGTCTCTACACGTGAGAGCAGGAAGACCGACCGTGTCTATACTACCGGCCACGGTGATATTCATGGAACCTAGAATTAAAAGAAAATTTATTTCGAAGAACTGTCCACAAACTAATAAGCAATCGCTATTTACGTAGCGCAGCATTACATACCAAACTTTCACTTCATCTCCACTTATATTTCAATGATAAAGATGTCCACAAATGTTCAAGAAAAGTTGAATTCTTTAGGTAGTTCCAAAAATTATACCATGTATAAATTATATCAGCACAATGTCAATACCAGAAAAGTACAATAACTACTCTGTCGATTGACGTATGTGCATTTTTTCACTTTTAGGAATCTCGCGGAACTTCCGTTAAAGTAAAAGGGAAAGTAAAAGCGTGGTGGTGTATGAACACTCTCATTGATTTTTGATGTTGAAACGTTACCGAATATATATCTTGCCACTATCTCGAGTACCACGAGAAAAATAGTTGGACAAGGTGAATACTTATTCTAAGATGATATTTGGATGATTCAAGACAAGTTCAACCTGCACAAAAATATTCGTAGTTTTTTCCAATCATTCCTAAGAACAAATTGATTACTAATAACAAAACTTGTTTTGAATTCTACTGGTATTTCGGATATTCGACTATTAATTCTCTCAGGCCTACGCAATGGTGATCGGCGCACGAATGCATCAAATGTTTTGGCCCATTTTGAATTTAGCTTGCATATAAGCTATGAAGCATAAAAATTTTCAATTCTTCATTATGACATATATAGTATATACATGTAATCGATCCCTAAAAATTTGAACGACAGACGTACAGACAGACAAATAAGGATCATTTTCTCCAAAGCAATAATGAATCTATTTTTTATCTTTTCAAATAAAAAAAATGGCGTCCACTGGAAGGGCCGTATAGTAATCTTTAAAGATGGTAGTATAATAATGAAAATAAACAAAATTTTTCCTCTCATAAGAAAATAACTTTCACTTTTATTTATTAACCACACATGAACAAATCAAACATTTTTCAGTCGATATATGATATTTCTTGATATGATAATATGAATTTAACATTATGAGTACCTTACTATCAAGGTAAATATACAAAATAACACATTAATTTTTTTAACATTTTGGTACTGAAATAATAATTGATACATTATCATGACAAACAGTAAAAAATGTATAGTAGTAAATATAAATAGATTAATTTCAGATATAAAGAACACGGCATAATCATGAAGTAATAATCGATTTGGCAACAATGGAATTGAATAAGTGTCATTACTGTCATTGGAGTTTCTGTAGATTGTGTGGTTATGTGACGATTTAACCTCCTAAATTGCAATCAAAAACAGTGTATCACAAGAACTGTTTGTGGTTTTATTTCAGAAATAACTTAGTTTCACCTCCATCGTTTTTCCCACCTGACGGGTCGTGTTTTTTGCAAGAAGAATGAACATTCTGAGGCAAGTTATTAGAAAAATACCAACACATGCAGAACTTTTAATTCCTAATATCAGTGAAAATAGCAATGTGTCCAGCATTACTTCATTTTTGAGTAACAAGTTGTCGTGTATGACCATACAAGGTAAGTTCTCATATCATTTTAGATATATATTGAACATATACAAAACTGTCTGTCAATAATATGTTTTAGCAGTGGCTAAATACACGGTCTCGGGTACACTACATGACAAGGCCTAATCCTTGATCGGTGGCTGCTGAAGTTCACCATTGACAAACCTTATGCTTTTATGAAAAAAGGGAAATTGAGGAATTGAACTTTTAGAAAATATATAAAATGAGAAATTAAACTGTAAGAGAAGATGAGAATTGAAACTCACATTATTTATCATTCATAAATAGAAATTTTGTACAAAATAATCTGCTAACCAGAAAAAGTCACACAAATAGGACTTTCATAATCTGAATAACTCGGAATTTATGAGTTTTTTCATTAGGATACCACCATGAATAAGAATGCAATCACTCTTATAAGAACAAGAACTATTCCAACATTATTCCCATCCCTTTTGTATTGTTTATACTCGCTAATTTTTTCTTATATTTTACTAAGATATTACTAAGAATATTTTAATTGAACTTCCTAACTTCAATTAAAAATTCTAATGTTTTCTATCTTGATATGCTATCATTGTTATAAATGAGAGAAGTTATGTTTGGTTAGGCTGTGAGGTTGGATCAATTTTTAATTTTTGATGAGAATATGTTCAACAATTGAATATAATAAAGTCCAGGTCGTGGTCAATTAGAACCAGAAGTACAAAACGTTTCGTCTGTTAGTGCAGCAGACATCATCAATGGTATATGGTATAGATTGTGATATTATCTTCGTCCTCAAAGTCAACGCATATAATGTCTGCCCCAGTAGCAAACGAAATCTTTGCTACTTGTTTATCTTTGATAAACAAGTCTCTTTGATAGTCTTCATGAAAGTCACCAAACTCTCCTAAAATGAGTGACAGCTCACTTTTCAAGTGACGTTACCTTTCAAGAACAATAAAGACAATAGGTATTTCGGTGTCGGATAAATCAGGAGTAAATAAGTGGGCTTTTTTTTGTATCCAAAACTTTATATTTGTCTAACGAGAAGTCCCCAAAGACTAAAAGAGCATAGTAGAAATTTTTTGGCTGTGGAGACCAATTCCACATTTGTGAACATTTACAAACTAGCTGATCATAGGTATAAGAAAAAAACATAATTTACTGATAATAAAAAAATTTTGAAAAGTTTTTGAAACAAAAGAAAGTGTGTATTTTAGATATTCAGATAGATTCTGTGCAATATTTAGTCATGAGTATTATTTCTTTTATGGTTTGTGTTTCTTCTATTGCCCATTCCCTATACAATTTCTACGATCAGAATAACTGAATGTTGAATATAGGTTATGTTCATTGTTTTGAACTTTTATTATAGACATGAGAAACTTATAAATGGGTGAAATAAATTAATTTCACTCACGGGAAGCACAAGAAATCACAACAATATATGAAAACAGCTGAAAGGACTTTGTTTTTGTTTTACCATCTGACTAAGTTTCAATATGTCCGGTAGATGTCGTATCTAGACGATGAACTTCTCAATTGTCTGTGGAAATAAAGTGGGAATTTTGTATGTCAGTACTGTATACAGGGTAATTCAAATTCGACCCCACCATTGGGATCTCCTAAACTATAGGAGATTCGTCGAAGCTTAAATTGGGGCAAAGTTGCGTTTTTTTGTGCTTAACAAAATACTGTTTTGAAACTTGTAAAATTCCGAGTATTTCCGAAAATATCCGAAAAAAACTGAAAATCGAAATTTTCGTTTTTATTTTTTTCTAGCGTTTTTGACAACATAGCTCGAAAATAAAAACCCGTTTTCACTGATACTTTTTTCAGCTATACGTTACCATGCTCAGATTTACTATCCGACCTTTCGTATTCTGGAAATCATCTTCAACTATTTTTCTATTACGGGGGTCATATTGTTTTTATAGAAAAAAATACTGCTCATTCTGATATCATTGATGTATAATTTGTTATGATTTTTACGCTTCTGAAACCACAGGTTACTATATATTAAAAATAATAACTTCATCTGAGATGGCCATGACTCTGTCAGAACTCATCAATCATCATAAGTTTGCACAAGTACTTCAGTCGAAATGTCCTCATTCTCAAATGAAGAAAAACGAGATATGTTGAAACTTTATTATAAATTTGATAGGAATAGTACGAAAACAGCACAAATTTATTTTGAATTATATCCGGAAAGACAACAGCCGGATAAAACATTATTCGGAATCTTTGACAAACACTTGGCTGTGTACGGTATGTTTCCAAAACCAGGAATGAAGTTTAAAAAAATGGTTTTTCCGTTAATCAGCTGTCGCATCCCTACGAACGACAACCCTCAGAAGTCATAAATTGTGCGAGTATGTGGAAGCAGAATAGAACAAAGTACTAGAAATAACTTATTAGCCGAGGCAAAATGATTCCATTTTCAAAGAAGTAAGTATAATTATTTTTGGTACTTTCTAGGATAAATGCAGATCCTTCCAAATCAACGCATCATGTCTCGGCAAAAACGGATGTGCCACAGACGAGCGTTTGGAGAGAATTCAAAAAAAGTGGTTTGAAATATTGAGATACATAATATTTCACAAAAAGTACATCCAAGTGATCCCGAGACAAGGATGGAATTTTGTAGCTGGAATTTGTAGATGGAATTTTCGAATAGGCTAGACCCCACAAAAAATTATTTGCACCGACGAAAATACTTTTTTTTACCATGGTGTTCTAAATAGAAATAATGAGCAACATTTGGCGTGAAAATAATCCACGACACTTCAGAAGTCAGACCACAAGTTCAGACCGAATACTTGGACCTCATTTCTTCTCTAATACTTGAAAGGAAAAACCTATCTTCAATTCTTAAAAAACGAATTCGAAGAATATATAGATATGTTTCCCCTTTTCAATAAAAGCTGCCGGTTTCAGCATTATGTTGCTCCTCCACACAATAAAAGAGCAATTTGCAAATATTCACACCAAAGATTTCCTAATAGGTTGTTAGGAAATTGTGGACCAGCTAGGTGGCCCGGCACGGTCACCTGACCTTACAGTTTTGGATACTTTCTTGTGGGGCACTTTGAAGAACAGAATCTATGGAGAGCAAGGGTATGACACAGTGGGTGAACTTAGAAAAAATATCATCACGCAATTCAGGTCTATCAGAAAAAGGGATATTGTTAGGGCTGTCATTAGGAAGGCTATCATTTCAAACACTTGTAATACTTTTTGTGCATTTTTTATAAGCTCATGATTTCATTCTTGGTTTTTGAAACGCTCCGTACTCATCAGCCAAGTGTTTGTCCAAAATACCGAATGTTCTATCCGGCTGTTGCCTTTCCGGAAATAATTCAAAATATATTTGTGCTGTTTTCGTACTATTTCTATCAAATGTATAATAAAGTTTTAACATATCTCGTTTTTCGTCATTTGAGAATGAGGACATTTCGACAGAAGTATGCACAAAAACTTATGATGATTGATGAGTTCTGACAACTAGTGTTCATTAAACAAAATTTTTCGGTGGAGTCATGACCCTCTTAAATGAAGTTGTTTTTTTAATACCTGTGGTTTCAGAAGAGTAAATCATAACAAATTATACCTACATTAATGAAATCAGAATAAGAAGCACTATTTTTCTGTATAACAACAATATGGCGCCCATAATAGAAAAAAGTTGATGATGATTGCCAGAAAACGAAACGTCGGATAGTGAATCTAAACATGAAAACGTGTAGCTGAAAAAAGTATCAAAGAAAATGTGTTTTAGGTTTTGAGCTATGTTGCTAAATAACGCTATAAAAAAATAATTTTATTGAGCACAAAAAATCGCAACTTTGCTCAAATATCAGAGGCAGTTCCATTTATGAAGATAATATATTCTCACTCTGGTCGTCATTGACTGGTCTACTTTTTTTTTTCCTTTTTATGTACAACAATAAAAAGTTATTCAGATAAAACTGAAGTATTAGTATACTAATGAAAGCGCTACAGTTCACGTTTTCGAATCAGTTTGTAAGCGGTGCCTGCAAATAACAAACTATGGCGGAAATCATAATTCCAGGAGAACTCTTGGAGAAACTGACGTGCCACTCCTGTTTGAAATTTCTGTCCGTCGGACCCGTGAAATTGTACAAAGGACAAGTAAAATGTGGGAGGTGTTCCCGTGACGATGATGGTGGAGTAGTTTCGATGTACGAATTCATAGCAGAACGATGTTTATTCAAATGTGTTAACCGTTTTGATGGGTGCAAACAACTAATCCAATACTGCAAAGTCATCGAACATGAAGCAGAATGCAAGCCCGAGATATACAAATGTCCATATTGCCCTGATACAGAGATGCCAACTTTTCTTCTACCCAAACATTTCGTAGAGCATCACGACAATTTCTTGATGAATACGGCCTACATTTGTGCAGATATCATCTGGGTCGGTACTTTAACGTACCTGTACTACATGAAAGATCACATGTTTTACATTGAGATAAAATACCCCAACGGTGATATGCTGTTGAACGCTTACCAGTTGAGAAAGTATTCGAAGTCCTCCGCGATCAAAGTATTCTTCACGGTGATTGGTAACAACGGAAACACCATACCGCAGCTGAGAGGAACAGTGGTAAACATACTTTCTAGACCCAGTAGGGGTTATAGAATCCATAAAAGTCGAATTGATACTGTTCTAGAACTAAATATAAACGTCAATATGAATTTTGAAAATTGCGGTGAAGTGATCCTGCTGAATAATTCAGAAGTATCTCGCCCTTCTTCGAGGTCAACAAGTTCGGTTGATATGGCAACAAATACTGTGGACATAGTACAAGAAGTTGATCCTCTATTAATATTTATGTCCCCAACGCCAATGTATTCTGATAAACTGATGAACTGGCCGAGGAAATTGAAGATGCAGGTGAAGCCAGTTAGGAAAAATAGAAATCGGGTAGAAACTGAAGAACCTAGGACCGATCAAAACTTTGCAATGAATCTTGATTTCACTGGTTTCACTCTAAGC